GATACATGCAATACGGTTTTGGAGAGTCCTAGCAGGTATGGTAGTTTCATCAAAGAACCATGAATATACTTTTGTCGCAAATCCGCCAACAATTGCTCCAAATGCTCATGAATTTGTCAATTTTGCATTGAAATATCATGGCAATGCATGGACTACGGCTGCAGCATGTACTCTATCATGGCGACGCTCAAATCATGTTGCAGGTGGGGAAATAGCAGTAGGTTTTCCAAAGAGATGGTTACTAGGGGAGGGTTATTGGAAAACAGAAGGTGATAAAACGTGTAGAAATGAACGTCGAAAGATGCTAGCAACTGCATTCTATATAGCTACACATGCTATACCTGTGCATTCGGTGTTAGCTCTAATGATGCCATTAGATCCAGCACATTGGGTACATTTAGATCCATCATCGGGGTGTATTTGGGATTGGGAAATGGGTGCTTCCACGGTCCCTATGAAACCCCGTACTTAAGTTGCAGGAATAGCTGCTGTAGTCAATGCTTTTGTGGTATTATAAATGATGTCAGACGAAGGCATCGCTTCACTATTGACACATATCGATCAATTAAATTCCCTGAAAACAGCATATGAAAAAGCGGCTGCACAAAGTATGCAATGTGCAGTTTATTCCAGATGGTTCTTTGATGGACATCCTGTACATATGGGACCAATAGATTTCAATCAAAGAGATGCTTCGTTTAATGATTTGGCAGATGAATTAGCTATTATTGGCACACGGTACTATTCAGGGCCAACTATTTCACAATCAGCTTCATTAGGCAATTCGGCATTACAAAGTAGTAATGAAAAAGTAAGGATATCTCACATTTTGTTTGAAGAAAATGAGGGAATCATGATGTAGCTTTTTCTTACGATGAACCCGAAAAAAGATACATCATTGACTTTGAATAGCACGCAGCGATATATCATGATGTGTCATACATTGTATCCTGATATAAAAAAATATCATTTTCTATCATTTTCTTTAAAAATTTGTGACTGGGTGGGCTTCAGTACTAGTTGACATTTGCATTATGTTACACCTCAATTCTATATTATAGGAAATCGTTTTATATTCGTTCGGATTCAGAGTTTCCAGTAACCTTAAAATATATTGTTTTTTCTCATAAATAGAATCCTTTTATTTTACTTACGGAAAAATGACAATTTAATTTTTTTTCCATTTAGGCTGTACTGAATATATAATAGCCAAACGGTTCTTCTGCATATCTTTAATGACTACAGAATTTGAAAAGCTATTGAACAGTATATTACACAGTGTCGACGAATGAGGAAAATTAATTAACGTGTCGGCGAATCGGGGCTGAATCAGTGAAACTTGGAGCGGCTTATTCCTTTTCACTACAAAAAAATCTTCTTTAAGCCGACTGAGTGAAACTCAGGAGACTCATTGAGAAGACTTATTGCTTTTTAGTCCGGCGCCTAGCAAAATTCTTTCTTTCCATACTGTTTTTCTAGTTAGAGTGAGCTACTCGTTCTAGGTTATAGCTGATCGCAGAGATTTGGGAAAAAGATCAGTCAAATCTACAACACTTGTAGACGATACATCTGAAGTTAATTTTTCTTTGTATGCTTTAGTTCACCTATAATTAGTCCTGGAAGATGAGCATATTTTTTTGAAGAACTTTGCCGTTTTCTGTATGAGATAATTAATCGTCACGTGATATGCTTCATAGTGAATGTATGCCACAATGCTTGATATGATAAAACCTATAGTAGAGTATATAACAAGATAATGAATCTGCTGATATGTCAACGTGAATAATATGCTGTAGAAGATATTTGCAAAATTCTATCTGAGAAAATTAACCGTCAAGTGCTATCGTTCATAGTGAATATATACTATACTGCTTGAGATGGAAGCTATAACAGAATATATGATATGATACCGAATCAGCTGATATGTCAGCTGATTCATTATCGTATCATACATTCAGCTATAGCTCTCATCAACCAAGCACTATATGAATGCCCAATTCGTGTTTACTGAAAAAAAGTCAAAGTGTGTGTAACTTTCTAGATCTTTTAATTTCGTCTGTTTGGCATTTCACTCAGTGGACTTTCCAATCTTTCCGAAGGGTATTACTATTAGCTGAGTGAAACGATAAGGAGAATTATTCTGTTTAACTTCGAGCGTTGTCTAGCAAAATTCTTCTTTCTTTCTTTCTATACCGTTTTTCTCGTTCGAGTGAGCCACTTGTTCTCAATTATTTCTGACGGTAGACATTTCGGGAAAGGATGATTCGAAAGTAGAGAAGTCAAAGATGACAGAACTGAAGTTACTTTTCCGATATTTGCATACTTATCTTATAATTAGAGTCACAAAATGAGTATATTTTTTAGAAAACTAGAAGGTATATTCTTTATACAGCTAGTTTGTCTTATCAACCAAAAATCAAATGCGTGGTGTGAACCAATACGAAATGAAAATAGTATATGATTTATTAATGTAGACCGGTTTCGTATTCTTCGGCAGTACATTAACAATCTAATCTAAAAAATTTTTTTAAATTGGTCTTGCTACTAAACAAGTTTAATGATAGTAATTAGACAATTATATATGTGATTCACAAATATCTGACTCACTTGTGCTGAGAATCACATGAACTAATAAGAATATACCTTGGAATATACCTTGTTTCTTATTGGCCAAGTCTGGTGGCAGATGAAAAGGGTGGAAAAACTCTTGTTTTCACTTATATAGAATGGTCCGACGACCGATAGATGGAGAACCTCGAGAAAACTCTCTCTCATCTATCTCCTAAAAAGGTCAGACGATAAGAAAACCAAAAAAGAAAGTATGACAGCTTTCGAGGAGTTAGGCAAACTTCTTGGATAATTAACACGTGGTGATTAGACAATCTGTTTGGTACCAATGATTATTCATTAGAACAATCAAACATGGCATTCCCGCACGTTTGGTACAAAACGATTTGAACCCGAACAATCGGACCAAGCAACGTTCTATTAACAGTACATTCTTTTACTAAAATTTTGTTTTTCTTCGTTCTTTAGTATGTCGTACTTTTCTGTATATAAAGCAAACGTCCTTTTTACAGTTTTTTGTACTTCTTATCAATGTACTAAAGAAGAAAATTCGAAACCGGTCTACATTGAATAAATAAATAATAGTACCAAATTCATTAATTAAAAAGTATCAGTCGACGCTGAAGACTATGCACTTTTACTTAGGCAAGTGAATAGAACTGGTAGAGATGTATGACATCCATTTTGCTAAATTCTCCAGTGTTCAACCGTTGCGGCTATAATTAAACAAGTATATTAACTCGATCGTTTTTCTTATGAGATAATTAATAAATAGACGAAATTAGAACATCTACGAACTCATAACAGTTTCACTATTTTTCAAGAAGAAGTCCTATATTCCCATATCAGCTGATTCATTATCGTGTCATATGTTCTACTATAGTATAGCTTTCATCATACCCAGTACTAATTATACAATAACTATACATTCGCTATAATCGCTACGCGACTCGCGTTTTTTATCAGTTAATCAATCGCGATTTTCCTTTCTCGCGGTGCGAGTCCTGCTGTCGCGACGCGACTCTCCCTCGACTCGCGAGAAAGTCGCGATTTGTAAAAATCCGCTCGCAATAGCTGTTTTTTGTTTTTAACTGCCCTAGTGATCGGTTCTGATATAAGAATCTTACTCAATTCTTATATAAGATTTTCTACGAAAGTGACAAGAATTCTGCTGAATTGCTGCCGACGCTCCTACAGAAAAATCCTAGTATAGTACTGAAAAAAGACCGGAACTACCAGTGCAGACGGCATGCTATATTGCACCGATACGTACTAGTTCCACAGGTTTCCAATCATCGTTTGTTATCTTCGATTGCACTATGTTTTACTCGGACTTTTCTTCGAGAACATAGTGCAATCAAATTTTTAATGCGAGCAGACAATGCTTTGATCTTGTTATAATCTTTATCTGAAAAGAGAAATCAGTATAAATAGAGAGTCAGGTAGTAAATTCAGGGGGTGTACACAGTACATTCAACTCTCTGTTCCCATATCTAAATAGGTCTCATTTTCGCTAGTCACAATGCTACACCATCGGATTTCTGGACAAGTTTTCTTTTGAGGCAGATCTCTTTCGCAGATTAACAGTCCGTATATGTCACAAAAAAAAGTGAAAAATATTTTTTGATATAAAAGAGTCACTTAAAAACAAAGTGTGTCCTAAGGTAGGTGAAACACTGATTTCACCGTGTTTTACCCGGTTTCTCTTCGGGAACATAATGCAATCAGGTTCAATCATTCATCTCAGACTCGCTTTGAAGTTGAGATCAAACTAGTACACAGTAGTTTATTAACATGCTCTTTCTTTGTTTAAATCCTTTCTACTTCTCATAAGAACCATATTAGTAGTTTTTTCTCATGTATTTCTCAATTATGGTTTGCCATATAACTGGCATTTCATCTCAGAATAAAAGTGAGAACGGTTAAATGTTTTATAGTTCGTCTGTGAGCTTTACCGTAAGGTAACGTTTGTCATATGTGAAGAAAACATTCACGCTTGGACTTTCAGAAAATGTATATCCGTAGATATTATCGCTAGGATCAGTTCGTTATTAGAGCCAATCTAATATTCTGCGAATGAGTCGGAATGGCTAAGCCCCAATCCTCCGTGCGTCAAACAGAACCGAACTGATCATCGCTACATCCTGAGAGTCACTAACGGCAAAGCGATATTACACCGAGGATACTCACAAT